TTGCCAGAAATTTGCAATCAGTATCTGCCTGGGTTTTCCTTCTCCCGTTTCTTTAGATTCAATACAACTTTTTAGCAATTTACCTTTAACCAAACTTTATAAACCTTCGATTTTTCCATAGGAAACAAATCCCTTTTCCATTTTTCAGTTTGTCAGTTTATATAATGGTTAAAAATGTCAATTTAGTAACCTGTAGAACTACTGACCAGCAAGTCTAGAAACAAACTCAACAGTTCAATTTGTACAAATATGTATTAGTCAGGGTTCTCTAAAGAAACAGAACTTGGAGAATGAATATATGTGTGTATAGGCATATATATATATATATATATATATATATATATATATATATATGGTTCCCAGACTGTGGAGTTGATCCAAGCTGTCTACCAATGAATCCAGTAGTTGTCCAAGAATCCAGTAGTTGTTCAGTGCATGAATGAGGCTGGACGTCTCATCTGGTCTTCAGTATATGCTGGAGTCCTGAAGAAGTAGACTCTAATGTTAGTGAAGGAAAGGATTGGTTAGAGAGAGCAAGCAGGCAAAGAAAGCAAGTTTCCTTCTTCCATGTTCTTTATATGGGTGTCAGCAGAAGGTGTGACCCCCGATTAAAGATGGATCTTCCCACCTCAAAGATCCAGATTAGAAGTGGGTCTTCCCACTTTAATTAAGAAGAAACATCCCTCACAAGTGTGCCCAGTCATTTGGGTTCATTCCAGACGCAATCGAGTTGACCGTCGAGGATGGCCATCACACACACACACACACACACAAACAGACAAAGGCACTAGTTTATTACAAGTGCAGCATTTATTCGTGAACTCACAGCAGCCCCGGCTGCCTGCTCAAGATCAAGACAGTCAGCTCCAGTTTACTCCAGCATGGAGGGAATGGGCTTGGAGCTAAGGATCTGTTGATGGTGGATGGATTCTAGGGAAAGAAGAGTCAGTTGTAAGGGTGCTGCCCAACCATGCTGGGCCAACCATTCATGTATGGGCAGCACAGATTAGCCTCAGTGAGTTATTTTTTTAAGGGTATGAACTTGGAAGGGGTAGGGATGAATTCAGAGAAGTTGGAAGAACAAGTAAGGTGTTAATATGGTCTTCATGTATTGTATCAATATGAAATCCTCAAAGAATTTATAAAAATATTGTATTAGAAAACTGTAGCTTACAAGCCATGAGAGTTCAGCATGCAGTGAGCAACAATCTGAGTGTAAGAATTAAAAATAAATGGGGATAATAGATAGTTCCGTCATTACTTTCTGGTCAGCCAAACCCTATCCTAATATGCAAGCCTTGTGTTCATTGAAAGACCCTGTCCATAAAAGAGCAAGGTAAGCATCTTCTAAGGAATGCCACTGGAGGGTGACCTCTGACCTCTATTTATGCACACATGCATGTCACTTAAGCATACACAAGCAACTATGTGAATTCACGCCCACATGCCATACACACACACACACACACACACACACACACGGAAGTAAAAATAAAGGTGAGATCATCAGGCTAATAAGAGACCTTCTCCTGTATAAACAAATCCCCTTAATGCAGAGTTTTAATTAGCAATCTAAAGAGCAATGTGAAAAGTAAACTTATTCACCCCTAATTCTTGATTCTTTTTTCTACTTTCATGCCACCATAACCTCCCACAACCACTAAGTAATCAACATATTTAGCTGTTCTTGCCCCTTTGTGTTGTCCACAAGAGCAAATTTCTGTCTTTATTATTCTACCCTTAATCCAGACCTGTAGCATGAAGGCCAGGCCTGCTTGTTTGTGTTTTTCTGTCCTGCCCAGTTCCCCACAACTGTTTAGCCCCAAAGAAAATCACACATAGGTCTCCACAAATTATAAGCTGATTGGCCCATTAGCTCTAGCCTCTCACTGGCTAACTCTCACATCTTGATTAAACCATTTTTCTGATCTATGTTAGCCATGGGGCTCAGTACCTTTTAAGTGGGGCAGATCACATCCTGTTGTGTCAGTGGTCTAGGCAGGAGTGGGAGGAATCAACTTCCTCTTTCCCAGAATTCTCCTGTTCTCATTACATCATTTCTATTTCTTGTCTGGTTTTTCCGCCTATATTTCCTGCCTGGCCAATCAGCATTTATTTATAACATGATTGACAGAATACAGACAATTCTCCCACACCACAGACCCTTGTCATTTGACTGAAACTATGAGCACAACCTCCAGAATGGTATAATGACTACATTGTTGCCTTACATTCATTCTGCATAAAATAACCAAGACAATTTAATTTAGACATAAATATGGCCTTTTTATTCCTCAGAACCTCCTCATGGGACTGGAAAGGACCCAGGTTCTATTCCCACACTGACCTGTTGATTGACAGTTATTTGTAACGCCAGTTCCAGGCAATGCCGTGCCGTCTTCTGGCCTCTGCAAGCCCCAGGCATGCAGCATGGTACACAGATGTGCATGCAGGCCAAACACCCATATTCATAATTTTAAAAAAATTAAGCTCCTTTAAAACAAGAGAGTAATAGAGGGGTAAATATGATCAAAGTATATTATATACATATAAAATGTCAAAATGAATCCTATTGTTTTGTAAAGTTAATATATACTCATTTAAAGTTTAAAACCTTCAAAGACCCCCTCATAACTTAGTTTAGCAGTATTCCAGGCATAGCGCAAAACATTTTTATGAATTATTCAATTAGTTTATTCGTTATCCATGAATTCATATATTTATTGTTACAGGTTTCTTTGTCTCAAGTGTCTATTGAATGCCAGAATGTATCCCAGTCTGCATTTCTGTCTTAGTAGTAAAGCCATGAAGAAAACAAATTAATGTAAGCTTCATAGACTCAGGATCCCCTCCTCCCCCGCTTGTGTTCCAAGACCCAAACAAAATAGAATCTGAAGGCCTTTAGAAAGTACCGTGCAAACCCCAATCATCCGCAGTGACACATCTTTCTGATCCCCTTATGGTGGTTTTTGTTCAGGCCAGATGGAAACGCTTTGGTTTACCGCACACTGTGTTCTTGGTAGTTCCTTTTCCGAGTCCATTGGCTGTCATCTCTAATTATAAAAAGTGACATCATGCTACTAGCAGTGGTTTTCAGAATGTATGATCAGCATTTCCAAAAGAAATGTGGAATTAGAAACCGAATGCATCCAAAAAAACTTGAGAGATCTCATCTACAAGAGAATACGGTCCCAACAATCTTAGTTCTTACTCCTGTGAGTGGAACTATCCAGTAAGTCCACACTTGCACGTTATAGAGGGTCAGCTCCATTAAAGACTTCACTGAGGCTCTGCTTCATATTTTAAGGACTGGGTGTTTTTACCTTTTTCTCAGTTTGGTTTTATCAATAGCTGAACTTTTCCTGTCTTATAGCTGAAGGGAAAGTGAAACTGAATAATTTAATGGAAGAGCTGAGAACTGTTTTAGGTAAGTGTGAACGTGATGAACTTTTTACGCTGCTTTAATGCTATCTCCTACTGTGTATTCCTCTTCTTGCTAATTTTACCACCTTAGCCTTTTGTTAATTAAACATTTTTCATCTACTTCCTTTGAATCGCCTATGCTTTTACAACAGACATATGTCAAAACTTCAGATAGTTCAAAAATTAAACAGTGACTATTTATAGATGGAATTTGAGGGGTGGGTCATCAACAACATTAAAATTTTCTGAGAAATTGTATGAGCATTGGGTTATTCGAGGTATGTTCCTTAATAAGTACATAACCTTTGTTATAGATAAGATTATGTTTTAATTTTTATATTTCTAAATCTGTTGCTTATTCTACATGAAAACACGTGTCCTCACAGATTGTTTATCTATCCATGAAAGATGCTAGCCATGTTTAGTTTTTCATAATTTGTAATCATTTGATGGTGTTCGCAGCAGTGTCAGCACATTTTTGTAACAGTATGAGAACTTTTGAGTCCTAATTTTACCTTTCGGCTCCTCTCCAACCAAAGTCAGAGAAGACGCTGTGAGGGTTGCCCATCTCTCCTTCACTAATGCTGATCCTTGTGGGGGGCCAGGGATCCGAGCTCAGGTCCTCATCTTGTACAGCAAGCACTTTACCCACGGAGCCGTATTTCCAGCCCCTTCCTGCCAGAATTCTAAGGAAATTCCTCACATATATGGGAATTCTGTCATCTCACTCACGATCCCATCTAATCTTCTTCTGTAGGTACCATTAACATCAGAATTTTCTGGATTATGTTTCTAATATAGGAACTTTCGCAAGAGACATTCAAACTATCACATGGATTCTAGATTGCTTTTCCTAATTTTGTGCATAGCTCATGTCTGTTTTAATATGAAAAGTTATTGAACTCACTGATTGTTCTGCACCTATTAAATGAGCATATGGTCTTTGTCTTTCATTCTCATATGCCATAATTTATGTATTACTTTTGCGTGTTGAACCATCATCACCTTATTATGGTGAAAATTTGCTTTTAAGCTTAAATTTGGTGTGTTAATATTTAGTTAAAATTTGATTTGTTAAATTTTGTATCTGTGTTTGTCAGAGGTAGTGACTTGTAGTTTTCTTTCTTGATGCGTGTTTTTCTAGCTTTGCTATTAGGATAACAGAACCCAAGTCCACTTTTGAAACACTTTCTCACAAGCATTTACCAAATGCATTTTTGATACATTCTATTACTTAATAATTAACTAACTAATATAAGATGTGTACTATGTGTGCCTTTCTACATGGAATTTATGTGCATCATAATTTATAGTTCCAAATATGATCATTTCAAACTCCTAGAGTAAATATTTAAATTTTACTTCATACAAGAATGCACTCAGTTATTACTCATTTTATTCTCATCTGTAAACATAGTTAAGGTTTATAAATTTCATAACTTTACAGGGTCAAGAATCAGCGCTTTTAGGTCTCAAATTCCTTTCATGTCACCATTTGTGTCTTCTTTAGGAGAGCCAGTAGATATTAATGACCTCCAGGATACTCTGAAAGACATGAAGATTGAGTTCACAGACAAAGAGTATTTGCGTCTGATGAGAGATCTTCCACTTGATGGTAAGCATATGGATGTGTATTGATATGTATTGGTAAGGATTGACATATATAAATTCTTCAGAAGGTTTTTGAGTACTTGATTGTGAAATTTTTCTAAGATGGTAGAAAATTGTTTCTATTTCTTATTGTTTTATTTAATATTCATACATGCACATAATATGTGTTTATCAACTCCATCCCCATTCCCTTCCCTCCAACTCCTCCCTTAAATACCCTTCTACTTTTCCCTCCCATCTTCACATGACCAGGACTTTAAAATCATTCCAGAATATTTTTACCAAAAGAATATCTGAATCATTTACTTCTCAGTATGGGAAACGAAAGCTCTTTCACTCATTTTCCTCCCAGCGTGGCCCGTGTGTTGTCCTTGTTTGTGCTAACATGCCAGAAAGTACAAAGAAAAGTACAAAAAGGAAAAAAAAGTGAGGCAAATCAGAAATTTAAAACCAAATCAAATGGGTTATGTGTTTCCGAGTTTTCAGCCAATGGTCAGTGGTTTTCGTGCACCAGTGAATAGATTTGCTTCATGAAAGTTTTTCTCCAGAGGCTGGAGAGATGGCTCAGGGGTTAAGAGAATTTGCCTCTCTTGCAGAGGACCCAAGTGCAATTTCCAACGCCTACATGATGGCTCACAACTACCTGTAACTCCAGCCCCAGGGGCTCTAATGCCTTCTTCTGACTTCCCCAGTCACAGGCATACAAATAGTATGCATACGTGCCCCCAAAATATCCACATACATAAAATGCAAGGGTGTTTTAAAATTAAAAAAAGAAATAAAGTCATTCTCCAAACAAACTCCATTACAATGAGAGAATACAAATAAATCTAGAAGGAAACTATTAGAAGCTGATCTTTTTGAATCATGGAATTTTAAAAATTATAGTTCATTGGTCATTGATTTAAGCAAATCCTCCTTATTAATGTTTTCTGACCTTGTTTGTGCTTTCTTCTTCCAGCTTCAGGAAAAGTATATAAGAAAAGGATATTGGAATGTATAAGGCATCTTAAAAGTGAGTGCAAAGCATCATGGAAGGATAAATATATATGATTCCAATACTGTCCGTGTGCACAAGTTCATCTCTATTAAATAGAAATATCGTGAATGTATTTTCTCAGGATTATATTTTGTATTATATTTCCCAACATAACATGCTGGGTTATTATGCTACAATTCCCTGGGAATTTATCTAGACCCATTTAGAATTACATAGTATTCAATATAAACAAAAGATGCCGCCATCAGGGAATGAGATACTACATCTAGTTTCAATGTTGTTTTACACCTGTGACTAAGTCTTCCTGAATCTTAGGTCCTCATGTATAGTGATATTTTATTTATATTTTAATAAATAAAGCTTGCCTGAAGTTCAGAGGGTAAAACTAAGCCGATAGAGGCCAGGCAGGGATGTCATACACCTTTATTTCCAGGATCTGGGAGACAGAGGCTGATGGATCTCTGTGAGTTCAAGGCCACCCTTGGGCTACACAAGATCAATGCAGAAACAGATCCAGGTGGTGGTGGCTCACAACCTTTAATGCCAGTACTAGGGAGTCACATGCCTTTAAGCCCAGAACTAAAAGGGAATATAAAATGGGAGGAAACAAAGGCTCAGGGCTCAGTCTGCAGTTGCCTAGCCTTGGTAGAGGTAAAACTTCTTTAGTAGCTTGAATGTTTTGCCTTTCTGATCTTCAGCTTGAACCCCAATATCTGTCTGGGTTTTTATTATTTCTGCTGCACTCATGAATAAAAATGATGGCCATAGCCCACCTAAATTAATTAATAAGGGCTTTCCACATTTTGATATCTTTTTAATGCTTTGTCTCTCTTAAGGAGGAAAAGTTGATCTGAATAACTTGAGCCCATTTCTAGAAACCATGGGACTCAATCTCTCACAGGACGAATATGAAGACTTTGTAGAAAACCTGCCAGTTGATGGTAAGCTTATAGGCTAAAGCATGTCCCTTTGGGGACACCGTAGGTTTAACAGCATCTTTAGATGGCATTGATTTGATGTCAAGAGGATGTTTTGAAAGGTTTGCAACAGAATCCAGATAAAAACATATACTGTCTTCATTCGTTCAAGTCTAGCAGCTGGCCTCCGCCGTGGTGGTGGCCACACTGGATACTGTGTGATTGCAAAGGAACTTACCTACTAGGAATGTTTAAAGAAAATGCCTGCTGTGAATGCTTTACCTGACCTAAATTAGAAAAGCAATGGCTAGAGAGAAGCACGGGGATTTTAAAATATATATAACTGTGGACACTGAGAATAATTACACCACTACAATGAGTTATTGTGTGTATTATAAGCTTTGGATTTTAAATACAATAATAAATGAGAATTTTTCCCAATGGAAAATAATTTGCCAATATGGATTGAAGATATGAAAAAAATAACTAGACAGATAATGGTAACTGGAAAAAATAGTCAATTCTCTACTGCTAGCCATCATTCCAACAAGGAACAGAGGCTGAAACCGTTCTTCCATTTTGCTTTCATGTTTTGTGGTGCTAGAGATTGGACCTAGGGCCTGGCACATGCTGGTTGGGTTCTCTTTACCACTGGTTTGTGTCACCAGTACCAGATAATTTTCAGAATAACTTCTTTAAAATCTTCCAGTAACTTTGTTCTAATGCTATCTAAATGGATCCAGAAAGCACACTGGAAATGGTTGCAGTCTCTTGAAACCTCGACGCCTACCTCCAATGACATATCTCCTCCAACACCTCCAAATCCTTCCCAGACAGTTTCACCAACTGGGGACCAAGCATTCACACATATGAACCAATGGGAGCCAATCTCATTCCAACCACCACCATGTACAAAACTAAATAGAATAAAAGGGGTGGGGGATGTTACATCAACTTGGTGCCAAATACCTAAAAATAAAACGTAAGCATCTAGAATTAAATTTTAGATGATGCCAGTGTCCTAGTTGGGAAAGGTGGAAGGATCCTCACTGTTGCTCTGTGGTTTTCTTGCAGATAATGGAAAGGTTAATCTGAAAAATATTGTGCCAAAATTGAAAGATTTTGAGGGTGAGTTTCTCTAACACTATAAATGTGTATCTTAAATATTCCCCCAATATATTGTTGATAGCAGCAGTCATTTTACTCAATTATTTGTCAGACCAAATTTATTCAATAATTTATGTATTCAAAATAAGCCACCAAGACTTACTCTTTTTTATTGCTGTTTTTGTTTGTTTTGTGAGAAAGGGTCTCTCTGTGTCATCCTAGCTGTCCTGGAATTCACTGGGTAGACCAGGCTGGCCTGGAGCTTACAGAGATCGGCCTTTCTCTGCCTCCTGTATGCTGGGGCTAAAGATGTGAGCCACCATGACTAGAGCAAGTCCTTTCTTGTTTATAAGTATTTCTTTGCTACATGTAAATAGCTAAATTTCAAATAAGCATGTTAATAAAATAGATAAAGTTTTGGAAAGCTCAAGATGTCTTTCTGTTTTATAAGTCAGTATTGCTAATGGCAACTCAATATCCCATTGGTAGCCTAGATTGCCTTCTGCATGCCATCCCCTAATACTGAGAATGCCTTTGTTATGTTACTATTGCAAGGGAAGGTTTGCTTCGGCTTCTGTTGTCACCTTGTCACTTTGTATTTGCATGTCCCATCTTGTCTCTTCTCCTTAACTCCAAGCTGAAATTACAACCATATGACTATTATTTTTAAAAGACATATCATAGGTCATATTGGTTAATAACATGTTTTTACAAATACCTTTTTTAAAATAAAATTATCAGACCAGCCCAGTGGGGAAAGCTATGTGACCTTAGTTCAGTCCCAAGGGCCTAGTGTTGAAGGAAAGAACTGACATACAGAGCTATCCTCAGACCTCCATATGCATGAGTACACAGGCACATGCATGCACACATGCGTGCGCACACACACAGAATAAATATTTTTAAATAAGTTAACCAATTTTTTTATTTTCGCCTGTAAACATTCTGTCTTCTCAAAGGAGAGAAGATCAGTGTGGGTGGCCTGAAGAGCGCTGTTGGAGAAATGGGGATCCAACTCAAGGACAGAGAGTATGTGAACCTGCTGGAGACGCTGGTATTTGATGGTGAGTTAGTGTTGCTGTGACCTCCAGAAGCTAACTGGTCTTATGGTTCTGCTCTTTGGAACTTAACGTTATTTTTTTCCTTTTTCCATTTGCGTGTGTGTGTGTGTGTGTGTGTGTGTGTGTGTGTGTGTTGGACATTGGTTTATCGGTATGTGTAGGCACAGTGTGTGGGTGTGCGTGCACGTGTGTGTGTGTGGCGGGCATTGGTTTTTCAATGTGTGTAGGCACGGTGTGTGGGTGTGCGTGGTGGGGGGGCATTGGTTTCTTAGTGTGTGTAGGCACGGTGTGTGGGTGTGCATGTGTGGCGAGCATTGGTTTTTTTCAGTGTGTGTAAGCACAGTGTGTGTGTGTGTGTGTGTGTGTGTGTGTGTGTGTGTGGCGGGCATTGGTTTTTCAGTGTGTGTAGGCACGGTGTGTGGGTGTGTATTTATGTGCATGTGGAGCCCTGGTTGATGCTGTGAGTGCCCCTCAATCCCATTCCTTGAGGCAAGCTCTCCAGCAAACCCAGGGCTCACAGGCCTAACTGGCTCACCGTAAGCTTGCTGGGAGACCCGTGCCTGCTTTCCAAGGCTGGAATCACCCACACCTGCACTGTGTGAGCCCTGGGGACCCTAAATTCTGTTCTTGCTGCACAGGGCAAGTGCTTAACCACTGAGCCTTCTCCAGACCTCTGAAGTGTGTATTTTGAAATGCTGTGTGTTGAAATGTCGCCTGTACCCACCCTCCAGCTGTACCAGCCCTCCTCATAAACAGTCTCCGTTGCTCCTGTGACGCTTTGGGTACAGACCTTAGTTCTCAAAAACTCTTCCACAAAACCACGAGAAGAAAGAAAAACATCCCTGCTGACTTTTCCGTGCGGGGAGGGGAGGGGCATCTTTGACCCCGGTGCACTAGAGGTCCTGGAGGAATCCCTGACCTCTCTGAGGCTCTTTCCTAAATCCTGCTACTAAAACTTGCCCCTTCCTCACCTTTTACCCCTCCCCCACCACTAAATCTTCAAAGTTCTTGTTTTTATTCTCACTGTTTGAGAGTAGGCCAAATTTCTCTCCCTTTTCCATCAATATTGCCCTTGCAGAGAACCTGTGTTCCATTCCCAGCACCCACCTGGTGGCTTATATGTAGCTCTAGTTCCAGGGATCCAGTAACCTCTTGAGGCCTCTACAGAGGCTAGGCACACAGGCACATGCTTGATACATGGCATATGCAAGCAAATACTCATACACATAAAATTAAAAAACAAATCTCTTTTTATTTATTTTTTTTTATTTTTCCATTCAATTATTTACACTTTCTTCCCTCCTCCCAAACCCCTCCCGCTCCCACATACTCCCTCCTCCCTCTCCTACCCTGCTTGAAAGAGGGCAGGGAACCCTGCCCTGTGGGAAGTCCAAGGCCCTCCTCCCTACATCCAGGCCTAGGGAGCTGTGCATCCATGTAGACTAGGGTCCCAAAAAGCCAGAACATGCTGTAAAAACAAGTCCCAGTGCCTTTATCAATGGCCTCTCAGTCAGCCCCATTGTCAGCCACAATCAGAGAGTCCGGTTTGATCACATGCTCATTCAGACCCGGTCCATCTGGATTTGGTGAGCTCCCATTAGAACAGGTACACTGCCTCAGTTGGTGGACCAACCCCTCGTGGTCCTGACTTCTTTGCTCGTCTTCTCCCTCCTTTTCCATCAAGGAAGCAGGGATGGGAAGATTGTGTGAGGATTGTATGAGCCAGAGGTTGGGGAGGGCTGCAGTGAACACGTCAGGACCATTGCACTCAGAGCCCACAGCAGCTGTGGTTACCTGCGTGAGAGCAAAGTAAAAAAAAAAAAAAAAAAAAAGCATGGATGGGGAAGGGACACAGCAGTCCCCTCCCCTGGCTGAGAAGCTATGGACACTTGATCGCTGCTAAGGGAAATTCTGTTTTCTTTAGGAATGTGGTCCCTGGTAGGTTGCTCCAGAGGGGACCCTGTGTCCATTCTTATAGGGGAAGCACTAATTGGAGTCAGTGGACAATTTTAAAGGGGGGTGGGATTGGGAACTGGCTTGGCAGTTAAGAGTAATGGCTGTTCTGTCAAAAGACTTGAAATTGGTTCCCAGCATCTACATCAGACAACCCACAGCTCCTGTAACTCCAAGTCCAAAGGAATTTGCCCCATCTTCTGGCCTTTAGGGGCACCCACAAAGCATGTGCATGCATACGTGTATGTATGTGTGTTCATGCAAATGTGTGTATGTGTGCTCATACACACACAAAAAATTAATATCTTTTAAGAAGACATGAAGTTGGGAAGAAAACGTAGGGGAAACCTGGGGGATAATTATAATTGAATCACTATGTATATATATATTAAATTCTCAAAGAATAAATAAATATATTTTAAAACTAATTCAAGGGGCTGGAGAGATGACTCTGTGCTTAAGAACACTTTCTGCTCTTGCAGAGGACCCAGGTATGGTTCTCAGCACCCACATCAGGGAGCTCACAGCCATCTGTCATTCTAACTCCAGGGAGTCTAATACCCTTCTTGACCCCCCAGGACACCAACAAGCAAGTGGCCCACAGACAGACATGCAGTCCAACACTCATACACATAAAAGGTAAAGTTAAATAAATCTTTTTAAGAATAATATTTGAAGATGGAAAAGAAAACAGGTAAGAACAATGAGTGTGTGAATCCCAGCTCTCCTGTATTAGCCAGTATTTGTCTTGGAGGTGGATGTGTCGATAGACCAGTCAACAACACATGACGTTTGCTTAGTCCTAATGGTGTTCAGGACCCATCCTCACCACACACAGCAATGGCGCTTGGCCCCTG